ATGACTGAAACCTGCGGTGAATACGCTCTTTTTGGCTTCAAGGCCTCTAATGTCAGACTACATATAGTCAAGCAGGACAATTTAACAAAGATAGTCTAATGAGGCGAACGACCATGGGTGTTCTGATCCATGTAGGATCTTGTAACCCTAGTTTTGATGCGTACCGACGGTGAACGGCCTGTGTAAACTTTTGTGAGGTGCTATTTGACGGGCTGTGCCTTCATACAACGTTCCGATGAGGGTACACTCACGACAGCTTTCACGTGTCTTTGGCGAATAGTGTAGCCGCATAGTAACTTGGGTCGATTGATCGATTATGGTACACAATGCACCGATTTCTGTATCCTAACGACCGTAATTAAATGCCGCACACGAGCTTCTGTGGCAAGATTGAATCATTTCTTTGAGAAAGAGATCAAAGTAAGGCAAATGGCCAGTAGTCGGTCTGAAGTTGGCTCGAAAATGCAACCTGATATGTCTGTATGAGTGATCGAGTAGCTTAGATGCACTTTTTGGCAGAAAGTACAGAAGCGGAATCCTCGGATCAGTTACTGAGAAATGCGTGATGGAAAAATTTCATGCTACATGTACGCAGATCCAAAATAGAAGATGAAATGGTGAATATACATTCATTTGTAAACTAATTTGGTTTTTCGAGAGACCCAGCTGAATCTCTCGTTTGTGATGTTCCCAGGCAANGCTTCAAAGACAGATTCTGTATTCACTCGCCAATTGGGCGTTCAAATGGAGTTTGATAACACCATTTCATCTTTGTAATGTACTACTCATAAGGATGCTGAAGATCCGTCGACAACCCACGACCGGTTTCGCCCTTTTTGGGGCTCAACAGAAAACATCATAAACGAGAGATTTAGCTGGGTTCCAGGTGAGTCTCTCGAAAAACCAAATCAGTTTGCAAATTTGGTGCGATTTGGTTTCAAGCAGAACATCCGGTTGACGGAACCCCGGGGCCTGCGCCTACCTGATGAGCCCCAAAAAGGGCGAAACCGGTCGTGGGTTGTCGACGGATCTTCAGCATCCTTATGAGTAGTACATTACAAAGATGAAATGGTGTTATCAAACTCCATTTGAATGCCTACCAGATATTTATACTTACTGGCGCTCAATAAGCGAGTGAATACAGAATCTGTCTTTGAAGCCGACCCTAATTCGCCGCAGTGATAAAAAGTTCAAGCCTAGATAAAGATCGCGTCTGGACTTTGTACCAGACAGTAATGAATTTTTCATGGTTTTTCACGTTTGTGAACAGAGCGTGGTCCAATCTATATTTATTTTAATGCTTAATCGTTCCAGTTTCTCTTCAAAGATGTATCGATGAAAATCTTGACATAAGGTTTCTGAGCAGAAATCTAATATGATTCGATATCAAGCTAGAATGTCCAGAAGAGTGTAAACATCGAAGTATCGTACTAGAGACAACCCTTTGAGACACCCTAAACAGACGTCGAATAACCTCATGATTAGTGTGGATACCCTATAGGATTTCTACCCTACCGTCTTTTTATCGATACATCTTAGGAGACCGCAAGAATTTAGTGTGGATACCCCATAGGATATATACCCTGCCTTCTTTCTATCGATACATCTTAGGAGACCGCTTTGGCATGAGGAAGGCATGGATTGTTGAAAGCTGAACGAGTTTACACTGAGGTGATTTTTCGGTGGGTCTTTACAGCCAACACATTCTACAATGTTGGTAAACGTGGGATCTCCAGAGGACCAAACATGTGGTTGACTCCCTTCCGCATCTCATTTACAGTTAACCCCGATTAGTGGTAAAATTGGAGTGCACACGAGACAGTTTTACCAACATTCTGAAGGACTTCGCCTTTTCAACTAAACGTCCTTAGAGAGAGTTCATTCAAATAACGCCGGAATTATATGGACTGGTTTGGACATACGTTCCAGTCAACTTTTCCCCACTGAACAAGTTATCTATTTCGAATGTAGATGCGGATAAATACCAAAAACTGGAGCATTGGTAGGCTCTGTTTGCACGAATAATTAGGACTTAGGCAAAATAAAATCATCCTAAACGTCCTTAGAGAGAGTTCATTCGAATAACGCCGGAATTATATGGACTGATTTGGACATACGTTCCAGTCAAATTTTCCCCACTGAACAAGTTATCTATTTCGTATCGAATGTAGATGCGGATAAATACCAAAAACTGGAGCATTGGTAGGCTCTGTTTGCACGAATAATTAGGACTTAGACAAAATCATCTTTGCCACTTGTGTTGCTACGGTCAATGTTATAGCTACTAGAATGGGCCATGAAATATATATCTGTGGGCTCAAAATGCAAACGTTTAGCAAAGCCTGTCACGAAAATAAGTGGAATGAGGTGCGATCCTTGATTCTAGACCATTTTCAACATCATTGGCGACTTGTCTGCATATTCATCTCGAAATCTCTACTCTTCGGGTTGATGAAACAATTGAGAGGGCGCTCCACCATCATTATCATCATTACTTTCAGCTGCAAGAACCACGTACTTGTCGTACACAGGTTGTATCTCTCACGGTTTCGTTCACCGATGATTCGGGGAGATGGGGTAGGTAGCTGCGTACTAGAGGCAGGAGCTGATAAATTAGTGCGTAAATACAGCACTGTAGGCGGACTGTCAAGTGAAGGGACTGGAAAGGGAGCTATGCATTGAAGGAAATAGCTTGCATGCATGAGCACCACTGAGTGCGCGATTGGACCATGTCTGACAATGTCTCCAACCATTGATGTGGCCCGTCTCGGGGTCCCCATCCGGGAAGACGGCAATGACCAGCGCAGCTGAGTTTGCTGGTAATGGCTTTTATACTTCGCTTCATTAAATGGTGTATATATTTGGTCATCATCATCGACAGCATGACATCAGTGTTCAACACCGATGCTTCACTACCGTAGTATATTTGTTCATCTAAGAATGAAATCGCCCAAAGTCATCCAGCTGCGTTATTATTGGACGTATACTGATCCCTGTAAAGGTAGGTTTTTGCCAACCGTTTTTCAGCACGTTACTATGGTAATTCCTTCCAGGAGAACTTTAATTATTCAGTTTGATTCACACACAAAGTTTTGTCACGTAGCAGCAGCGTTGTGCACATCTTCGTCAAGTCTATTTCTATTTGAACTAGCGATTTCTTCTTATTTGGCTTCGCAGCAATTATGGAATTCGGTTCTAGTAATCCTAGTTAAATGGTAATCAGGCGACATATGACCTGTTCCAAAAAGCTTAATGATCGAGGGATCTTGGTAGTGGCGTAATCTACTCCTTGAAATTGACTGTTTTGGCTGATCTCAACGGAGTCCTTGCTTCAGCAGTATTGTACTCATAAATCGGAGGAAGGACTTTGATCAATTAGTTTGAAATGAATGGGTGAAACAGAGCCAAACAGGATGGGAATATCCCTGTTTCGAACCACATTTCGGTTTGCTGCGCTCTGCAAACTAGCCAGCTCTCTTGTTGTACCCATAAGTCTCTCACCGTTCACGTGATTCATCTCTGGTTTCATATGGGGTTCCAATTATTACCAATTGCAGAAAACAAGCTTTCTTCGCTACCTTCGTACTTATCATGTCTTCTCAAGCTAGCCATTACTCGTTCACTTTCAGTACTTTGGAGCTACCTATTTGGCGTCCCAACCACTCACCTTCAAGCAACTGCTAAAACAGATGGCCACCGATACAGTACAGTGGAGCGAAAATTAGAAATAAGTTATGCCATGTGCTCAATATGTGAGCACAGAATGCCTCGCTTCCAGGCATTTTCTGATGCGGCTTCGGACTGCTACCCAGTAACCCTCCATTCAAAAAAATATGGGCTGATGCCCCACAATGTTGAAGTCAGCAGTAACGTAAGCAGACCAGTAGCACTGTGACCCACATAGATGATCCATGCCATCCATACATATGGTGACGGTCTTTCACATATCTGACATTCATTCAGCTACAAACGTGTGAATTGGCAATCCACAGAGAATAAGGCTATGATTACCGCCATTTCTGAATACTGACAAGTCGCGCTCACGGCGTGCGATAGTAGTTGTGGGAATGATCGGAAAATTGTCCTGTTCATATGCAAAGGATACGGGACCAACTGCAAACAACGAGATGACAAGTTCGATCTAAGCCGGCTATTTAAGACACACCGCAGGGTACTCACCTAACGGCTCTTGAGAGCATCATTAGTTCTATCGTATCTGACGGTTGATCCTATTTAGAAATATATGATACCTTACCCATTGAGGGTGGGATGGATAATCACGTAGATATAAGGGGGGAAGTCGTTACAGGCAGAGGTTCTGTATAGCAGGAGGACTGCATAACCACATACGATAGATAACAGTCTACCACTCAATGTGCCTTAAGTCAGCACACCGATTTAGTTATCTTCTCCGGTTTCCAGAGAGCCACCTTGAGGACGCTGAAACAGTCGTGGAAAACAGGAGGAGCTCATGAGATTTCTGCGCAGTTTAGCTTTGGAAAACCAGGTTGTGTCACCGGTCCGTCCAATTGTCTTTATGGAACACCACTACCTGAATAGCTCTCACTTCCCTACTGTACGGAATCTATATTAACATGACTTTCAACGATTGATGACGATGATGTCAGAAGCACAGGAAAATAGCTTTTTTAGTATGAGAATAAGAAAAGGCATCCACTTTCAGCGATTTGCAGTATACCATTTCAAGATAACATATGAAGAAGAAAAAAGGCATGGACTAAAGGCTTGTAAGAAAGCAGAACAACTCGGCTGGTTCGTATGTTGGGAAATATCGAAAATTTCAAGTAGTCTTGATCGAACTGTGACTGGTCGTGGGAGATAGATGATAAACGGATCAAATCCTGTGAATAGCTACGACTATAAACAGAAATAAAATGCGTAATAAATAGAGTTAGAAAATTCTGAGCAGTTTCGGCAACGGATTGAGGTTGGGTTGTTACCTTCCAGTGTAGAGAAAAACACCGAATGGCTGGCTGCATTCAGTCGTATGAAAGTTGAGATCCGGCAACTTCATGAATCAGCTTGATTAACCGGTCGTCCCCAACTATTCGCAAATGTTCCGCCCCCTCCAATGTGATGTATTTGGCTCCCTGCCAAAATCGACAAAGTTGAAGGCTTCGCAGGTGCACCGTTCCATCGCCTTCACCGGGTATAAGGGTGGGATATTGATCGGGAAATCCTTTGTGGAAAAAAGACTTTTCCGGATAGACCATCTGATAGGTGGTACCGACTTTTGTCCCGTGGATGCAGTAGAGATCATCGATCCCCGTTGGGCCTTCAAAGCCGTCTACGAAGGGCTTGGTGTTTTTGAACAACTCATAGCCTTCAATTGAAAAGCGCACAGAGGGAATGAGAAGCGGAGAGGAGAATGTGTTATTGTTTCCGCCCTGGACCGAACATCAAGCCACCAAAGTCTCGGGACAAAATTTCTTCACCTGAGCCAGGGTACACTACCTCTTTTTATCGTCTTCGAAGCTGTTCCACAATAGCGATATTTACGTAGTTTATTCGGAAAAAGGATATCGTTTAGAATATCAAATGTGTAATTCCCTAAACGAACTTGTCGCATCTTCGGCTGGTCCACTACTAATCAACCATAATTTTCCCGCTTTACCAGATCCCGGGTCAATCAAGGTTGCTTAATTTTCTGGCTAACTACAGTCGTCAGTTCAGCCATTTTACAATTATTCGGAAAGCAGTGGTTAACTTAGTAAACTGTTCATCTCAAGTCTGTGTATTCGTTTAACCCTATGCCAAATTGTACTCATTAACTTGGAGAAGGTGTTTCTTTGGATTTCATTCTTTATCATATATTCGATCTTCGTCGTCCATCCTCTGGACCAAGTTTGATTCTGTCAATGGAATAGTCTAGTAAATTTGCAATTCTGCAGTATCATTAACATGTTTACCTAAAATGATGTGACTAGGTGGCTTGTTTGGACCTTCACCTGCTGTACGCTTACCGATATATTGTGACCGGCTGGTACACGAAATGGATCTGCAGGTGTACCATGATTCACCCGCTGCTTACAGTAGTTGAACGCAATAGGTGGCATAGATCCGAATAAACCGGTACGTGCAGGCTTGCTGGTGGTGTCTCACTCCAATGCGGAAATCAAATGTGCTTATTCCACTGTAGACTGAAGATGTGGCTAATCTGTTCTAGATTGTTTTATCTGAGGTGTGCTTCTTTTTGCACTAATTACCAAACCTTTTCCTCTAATACCATCCGTTTTGAAGAAATCCTGTCCTCATAGATGAATGTTCGGCTCCCCTAGCGGTCTGCTGCTGTTGATGATGGTGGTGACCGATCAGGATACTGAAGATGGTGATGAGGATGATGATGACAACGACCATGATGATGGTAATTATAATGTTGATGATGACGCTCAATCTTGTTCTTGGCTGTACCGTCGCGGTGGTTGGGCTTCCGTGCTGAAATTATCTTGCAAAGCACACTGAGTAGAGCTCCGTTCCTCAACTCCTAAACATACTAGTAAGGCTAACAGATAGCATGTAGACAAGCAGAAGCAAGATCCTCTATTCTGGTAATAAACTCACAGAGTACGATAAGATTTTTTTTCTCCAGGTGAATGCTTTCATCATATTTCTGAAGGCAGTGGTACTTTTTTCGAGGAAGGATCAGGAGTGAAAAAAACTCGACCCTGAAAACGGCGCATTCGGGTCGTCCAACGGTTAACCGTGACCCCCGGTGGTTCAACTAGTGCTGTCAAAACACTTAAAAGTTGAGTTTGGTCCATGGCTCCATTATGAGTGAATTAAGGAGAGTAGGTAAAGTAGCAAAGATGCTCGTTGAACATTTATCGAAAACAGATGGAAAGCAAATACGTCTCTCCGGCAAGACCGCCCTCAAGCTTGCATTTTCGTGCATTACACAGAGTAAAAAAGCAAGATACGGGTGTTCGGAATACGCATCGGTTTCGAATGACTGTGCTCAGTGAGTAGTTAACTTGAATGCACACACTGGTCTATGCCGTACTAAATGCTGTCGATCCAGCTGATAGACCTGTAGCGGACATTTCCATGTCCCCTCAACCGGCCTCACCTAATTTGTCCAGTACATGCGTGTTTACTAGATCCCGCGACTGACCTGCTATACAAGTCAGCTCCTGTCTAGTACGCATCGGAACGACTCATGTTTTATATACACGTCAAACTTTCCTGTATAAGGACAGAACACAATCAAACACACTCACGCAGCACTCGCGCGTTGGAACATAGACCGGTTCGACCCAACAACAACCGCCGACAACTAGGAACGTGTAGCAGTGAATCTGCCAAAAGAAACACGATTACCTGCGCCCAAACCAACACGGTGCAACTATCGCAACTTCCACTCAGAACGATAAGTCCTTCATTTGGACATTCCCATTTTGGTATTGTATTCGACTCGATTAAGGTGTTGTAAACTCACGCTCTTAAAACAAATTTTATTAGTGTCGCTTTCCAGCCTTCTGATTTATCAAGTGGCTTTTTTTGTTAAAAATAGAAAACCACTAATAGACCATTTCCTCGGCTTGTCCAAGGTAATCTGAGCTTCTGAACGAACTGCTTTTGTTTACACCGAACAGGTCGTGCAGGCGAACCCAAATGGCCTCAGTTGTTGCCCAGAGTCATAACCAAAGATATTTTGAATGTCGGATTGGCACAAAATGGATGGCTCAGGAAGCTCAAATCGGCTCCACAATGTGATTTGTGTTGACCAAATGTTTAACCACTGCACTTCTTGTCCTCTTTTGCTGCTCTCCACGCCGCCAAATGAGATTCGTACTTCAGACGTTGGACATTTATGGGCGGGTTGTTAAGGTAAGCCACTGATTTTACGTTATGAAAACCCTGATCCGTGGCCCTCGGAAGTCGTCTTTTGTCAACTTCACTAAAGGCTACGTTCTTAAATGGCGCTCGCATAAATAGTGCCTTTTTCCCTGTCATCATAGCTGGTCTTTCTTCAGGTAGACGCATGTTCCCGTCATTAAACTTGTCAGAGTATCCATCTTGTTTAAAAACGGACTCCATAACTTTTAGCTCAGCTTCGGGGTTGTATGATGAGAAAACCTTACGGGCTTGCTGGGTCAGATACCAGATACAAGATTACATTCACGTTACACAGGAGTAATGCTGAAGAACCCTATGTACTCTATGCATCCTGTCGGCTTACCATACACATGTGAAAAGTATCTATCATTCTGTTAAGTTAAGTGGACTCAGGCTACTTTTGTTCACTAGCTCGTATGTTAATTTGATCGCAGTTTTTGTGGGAAATTGAAGCAATCCACCACCTTCTATCTATACAGTCAGGCTGTCAACATAGCTGAAATAAAAGCAATAGCGATCAAGGAGTTTTGTGATGATATGCATTCCGATTTGGCTGTAAAGACTAGTTTCCATCTACAAACATCAAATTGCAAACATCGGTGAAGTATACTCTCTTGCAAGTTGATTTGGTGTTTAACGGAGGATTCATCTGAATCACTGTTGAATCTCTCGTTCATGGCGTTCTTCACTTGAGTTTAGTGCACGAAGGTCGCCGCTTGTTTTATTTGGCACCACATTCTTAATACCGAGGTATATTTTCTTGACAACTCAACCTGCAATCGCGCATTTCGGTGGTTGAGAAGGGCAACTAACCCGGGAAGAACCTTCCGATTGTGAGGCGAATTCGTTGGTAAACTCACTCAATATCAAGCAGTTACAGGATCAGTCAGCATTGAGGAAGTGTCTAGAGAATGTTGGTCGCAGATTGTCTAACATAACGGTAACACAAACTTACGACGACTAACTGTCTGTGACCAAGGACTCTATCAGAACTGATGTGATCAAAAAAGGCGCCAAGAATAGTTCTTTGAAAAGACCGTATTCGTATCCCTGCTAATCAGTGACGTCTATTTAAACGCTCCAGCATCCGGTGGATGAATTAGCTCAAGTGGAGCTTGCAATCTAAGGATCAAACATTTTTCTATCTGTTCAGATCACGGGATGAATGATCTGTAGATAACTCCTTGAATAATTGAAGTTTGTTTCTATGTCCGACACGGAGTCAACTCGGGAAGTATGGACAAACGAGGCAAGATGTAACCTGGGTTGGTATAATCGACAGAAGTGCATTATGGCCGAGCTTACCCGTAAGATGTTCAAGTTACCTGAACTAACGGTGTCGCAGAAGATTGCTGGTGGGACGGCCGAATCAAATAAACGGACCGGTATAATGCCAAATCTCTAGGAACGTTTGAATTTATTCTCATGTGCGTACGAATACTGAATGGCTTGTGAGTATTTTTGGTGAATAATCTGTTCGGCGCGGTGTCGATGGTTGTTGTTGTGGACAGGGACCATCCAACCAAACTATCCGGGATGTTCTTGTCCGGTCTGTGGTCAAATCTAGCCCTAAAAGTCTAACTCAGGAATACGCAAAAGTTTCTGTCTGGATTCGATCTTATTCGTTTTTAGAAGGTCAACTCCATTTTGCAAACGATCGGAACACTGAAGTGACGGCATTCAGAAAGAGGACTGATTTGTATTGGGGATAGTGGAAGCTAGGATACTCCTTGCTCATCTGCTTACCATACGCCCGAGCTGAAGATATGAGATAATTACTTCTTTAAGAGTGTTAAAACCACTTGCTTAAAGTCAGAATATCATCCGCAACTGCATTCAGGATCCCTGGTATCGGCATCATCATTATCCATGATACATTTATGTCCACTTTTCTCCAGGTTCAAGCAATCTAGAACTTAGTGTTCCAAAACGCGAATTCCAAAGCAAAAACTAGGCACAGGATAGAAAGCCACAGACGGACTGTAAGCATGGTAAAATTGCATGACTTGCCTTCGGGGAAGCCAATATCATCAAAAAATTTCTGGTAGTCGTGCGCAGAATAGTTGGCTTTTGGTGTGATGATGATCGGTTCAGAGGGAGGCCATAGCCTTGGATCGGGTAAGAGAAATGCTGTGGATGGCATTGAACGCTGAATTGGCCGGAAGCTAAGTGGACTTCGAACAATGACGCCAAAGTTGTCACCTGGGAAGAGTCAGTAATAAAAAGCTTATCGGAGTGGGTGGAAATGTAATCTGGAAGACAGCATCGAATTTCTGCACTGTACTGTATATCGATATGTACCATAGCCTCCCCCCCCCAAAAAAAAAAAGAAGCATCGTTATTTCCAAACCCCCCCCCCCCCCAAAAAAAAAAGAAGCATCCATGGGGAATGGCGTAACCAGCACCAACCGATGGGGTGCTTCCTCTTCGGGGGAGCATATAGAGCACCGACTATCGATCATACTAGCAAGTGATAATATATATACC